ATATTAATATTCAATCACACCAGGATTTCTTTTTTTCATGCAATGACCGTGGTTTCTCAACATGTCTGACATGCAGCATCCACTTCAGACCCGAGGAGAGCGCATCTCTTGAGAGTGACTGAGCAGAAACCTTTAAAGTCAGGACGTCATTTCTGCAACACTGCATGTGACGATACTCAATCAAAAAAAGAAAATCCATTGTTGACCACTCGTCAGCAAAGGATCCACCTGATCAGAACACAATTCCTGTGTGAATGGCCGTTTAACAAACAGCTCGCCCGGTCGTGTGACGGACATTCACCTGTAAAGGGCTCAGTTATGCTTCGAACAAACTATGTTGAGTCCATTTTAACAGTCTGACATTTTGTCTGAAGCATTCTGGGCTGTGAGGCATTAGGTAGTATTGTCTGTTCACACAAAAAATAACAGGCAGGAGAGAGGAGACAAAGAAAAGATCACAAAAGACACTGCACTCTGTTTATCCAGCTTCCCATGCAGGCTGGTATACTGGACAGGACTGTACGCTCATTCACATGCTTGGCTGGCTTTCAGTGCCAGAGCCGTGCAGAGGAGAGGTTGCAGCGAGCACAGGCAGGCATCGACTGGGCATCAGCCGCGTGCTGTATAAACAAACCAATTCAAAGGAGGTAAAACTGGGAGGAGTGTTAAGCTGGGCAGACACTGTGCTACTTTAGAAATGTTAAATTCTACCTCTCACCACAGTGTGTGCCCGGCTTTAATAAAGGTTGAATATTGGTGTTTCTATTTATAGAATGGTGATGCTGCAGAGGGAAAGGTATGCAGCCTGCACCGGTCGTGTTGATGCAGAGATGTGTAAACGCAGCACGGCAGCAGTCGTTGGCTGGAGGTCAGAGAACCTGTCCTGGTGAGTTCTCTCTGTTCATTTACATGTTGGTGTGTGTGTGTGTGTGTGTGTGTGTGTGTGTGTGTGTGTGTTTGTAAGATGCCCCAGTGCAATGACGACCATTCTCAGGTGGTCCATCAGTGTGCAGGCAGCAGGCAACAGGGGGAGGGGTTCGAGCAGCCCAGGACACATGCCAACAACAAGAGTGCAACGTTGGCAGCGCCCGACTCCGACACCCCCTCTGGCAGACGTACCTTCCTGTGCCATTGCGGCCGTGCTGGTGGTAGCGGCAGGGCTGGTATGCTGCCGTCCCACTATTGGACAGAGAGGGATTCAATGTGGCGCCACAGGTGGGACAAGAGCCTCACTAGAGCCTGACAGCATTTTTCTTTCTTCAAGGTTCTTTAAGTTAGTGAACTTTAGATTTACTGTCTCATCCAATGAGCTGCTCACCGTTAATGACATTTCCATTTAATAGCTTTTCTCTGATGTGCAGCTGCTGTGGCCGAGACATCTCAGACAAACACATTAACTGAAAACACGAATGCAAGAGCCACATAACAGAAATTCAAGCACTTTGGAAGTGAGCAACAACAGATACTGACAATGAAACGAGCAGGCAAGCCAGATGCCACTTAAAATTAGATGATTGACTGTTCTTGGTTCTACAGTACAAGTGCGTTCTTCCTTTTCGGGCGCTCTTAAGCACCCGTATCAAATTTTGCATTTGTTTTGTAGTTGTGTTTTCATCCGTGCATTCACGTTGTGGCTCTTACATTTGTTTCCTCCGGCCACCGTAAGTAACAGATGGGAAACCTTTGTAACAAAATACTTATACTAGTCTTAATCTTATCTCCATGGACACTCACAGTGATAAACATGCCTACAGTTATGTTTGAAGCAGTTCAGAGGTTTGTTCTCTTCAGTCTGCATCAATCCTGACCAGTAAGAAGCAGTTGGCTGTGATCCACCAGAGCTACTTTACTTACATGAAAGCATATAAACACAGGGCCAACAGCAATAATGCATTCGCTCGCTAGGCCGCCATCCAGAGCACAAATAGGAGCGTTCAATCAAAAGTGTTTCAGAGATCAAACCGCTTACGAGGAGGAAATCAAAGCCAAACCCCTGAAGTGTGAAATAAAAAACTGCAGACAAAGCTGACAAGCAGCTCGGACAAGAGTAAACATGTGCAGTTAAGGGGTCAAAAGAAATCTCAAACAGGAAGTAGAGTAGCAGGACTTAATTTGAAAGATCAGAAAAAGACAACTTCACTGTGAAATCTATTTACAAAAAGACAAACAACACACTTGTTTTTTTTAATCATAAAACAGCTCAAATTGTCTGAATCCAGGTTCTTTGTACGGCTTCATTCACGCAGGTGTCATTGTTATAACTATGATGTGTCAGTGAAGCTCACCTGAAAAGTTCCTGGACACCAGCATTGTCGTGAGGATAGCTCCCTACAGACACACAAAAATCAGCAGCGTAAGTATTTGTGTTATTGCGACATGTACGTGTGTGTATGTGTGTGTTGATGCTCACTTTAAGTTTCCTCCTGGCGTTGAACTTGCGGAGACATTCCACAGTCTCTTGACGGTGCATCATGGAGGCCACAGTGGAGCGTTGCTGTGTGAAGACAATAAATAACAACACAATAAACATAACTTCAGTGTTACACCATGGTGAGGTGGTGCACTCACTCCTTTATAACTGAACGACAAGGAGGAGAGACAAGGAGGCAAAGAGTCCATTATTTAAGAATTAGGACACCTCCCAGTTAGATTACTGCTCCTCGGGGTGAGTGGGTCGATCGCCAAAGTATTGATGCTACACTAGATACACAGTCTGGTGTTGAGTATTGATTCTGACATCAATAAGGTCGATACAGATTAAATTAATCCATCAAAGGTAAAGAATCTCCTCTGTGCTGAGGGATTTTCTTCTCTGTTGCTGTTGAGTGCACACGAGCAAAACATGAAAAGCAAGAAATGCCACATTTCTGACGTATCCATTTCTCTGTTGTTGGTTTTTTTTTAAAGTGGAAGGTGAAAAAACATGTAAGTGGAAAAGTCCCAATGTGCATTTTGTTAAGAAACATCAGTGTCAGATGTGTTTGACAACTATGATGTCGACAATCAAACAGTTTAAATTAACTCGGATTTACTCTGAGTGAGACTTTAAAGGAGAAGTGCATCGAAACGAATGTTTCATTCAACCCAAAGTTACAATTCCTCTTCTAGTATACACTCAATTAAGTAGGTAACTACGTTTGGTTCTACGTGAATTTAAAACTAAGCTGTGGGACCAACTCCTGGGCTTGGTTTAAACAACTTAACATATTTAACAAAAGAAAGTGCCATTTTGGCGTGATCCTTTTCACACACTGGAACGTAAAAGTGGCGTGTGCGACTTACGCAGACCCAGGGGTGCTTGATGGCCTGGTCGGCAGTGATCCGTTTGGCAGGGTTAATCGTTAACATCTGATTGATCAGATTCTTGGCCTCAGGGGTCACTGTGTCCCACTCTGGAGAAGGAAACTGAAAGAGACAGACAGAGGGAGGAAATGTTTAGGATGTGCATTATTGTTAACACGCATTCATTAGACATTCAAGCACACGTTCATATACACAAATATACACAATATAATATAATTATAGAGTAAGTTGTCTTTTTGTTGAGTGCAATGCAGACAAGCACCGGAACAGGAGTTATGCTGAGTGCTCAATAACTTTATATTTTATGGTTATAAAAATATATATAAATATAAAATAAAAATTCATGTGTTTGTTTTGTGTAAGACAGAGCTTTTTTTATTGTACATTTTCATTGATTTCTCAGGATTATTCATGGATCTTGATAGAATATTTTATCATTTAATAGTTTCAGAATCAAATAAAAATCTGGTTCTAGTGAAGGTAAATGTGGATTCATAAGTGGACTCATTTTTATTTATTTATTTTTAAATAGTTGAGAGGACCAGGTAGAGTCTTCAAATTCAGATCTCACTCCAGTCTTCCTCCATCCAAGTAACATAAAGTAATGTTTACTACTAAAATTTAAAGCAAGTAGTCAAGAGACATTAACTCCATTCCAGTGTCAGTTGACAATTACAGACACAAATGATGGAAGGTATCTACGCGACAATGATGATATTAGAGAAGTGCACATTATTACAAGTGCTTGTCGCATTCGGTTGATATCACTGTTCTTATTATGCACATTCATTAGATGTGGTTGCTTCCAATTATGGAAATTAATATGGGTATTAAATTTCTATCTCCCAGAGGACTATGACAAAATCTGATAAATAAGCCTATTGCTCTCTCTACATAGTAATCACTGAAGATTAAAATTATCCAATGACAAGAGGCAAGCAATTAAAACTTGAAATTTAATATCTAAATGAATTTGTGTGACAGATTTCTGGATGTGTTATCTGATGAGACTTGAAATGAAGGTGTCCTGCAGGGCTCCTGTTGAGAGCTGCCATTCACATCAATTATAATGCAAACAGGAAACAAAGAGTGTGGATTAGATTTCACGTTTCATGCAAGCAGGTGGAGCGTGAACAGATTCAAGGGAACTTGCGATGAGCATACGAGCTTCTGAAGTTCCACTTATTAGAGCTCAATATTTCTACATCAATAATAGATCAAATAAAGACTCTACATTCTCAGGTGGCCTTTATATTACTTCAGTGATATAAAGGCCACCTGACTCCCCAGTTGAAGCAAACTCTACACTTTTTCATAAATATCAGTTTTGCCTGATTATTATCTTAAATGAAGAATTATTCTCTGAGAAATTGGCTAAAATGTTGAAAAACGCCCGTTAGAAAAACTGAAAGAAAAAACTTCTGCATCCAGCCCCTGATCCAGATCCACACTGAAATTCAATGGGTTCTTCCCTGACCCACAATGCACCATTCCACCAAGTTCAGTGGTAATCTGTCCAGAAGTTTTTGCCTAATTCTGCAAATTTACAACAACATGATAAAACTGGATTTGTTGCACAGTGTTTTACTCTCCATCCCTCTTATGTCGTAACAACTGTTTTCAGGCATTGAACTGTTGTAACGACGCACGGGCGGCTCACATGTGCAGATGTACAGGAAGGTGAAGAGAGGTGAACTCACGTCATAAGCACCAGCCTTGATTTGTTGGTAGAGTTTGTGTTGGTCCTCGTCCCAGAAGGGAGGGTAGCCCACCAGCAGGATGTACAGGATCACACCTGACGCACACAAACACACACAAACATTCTCTATGAACAAATGTACACGTGCAACAAAGTTGTAGCAGCAAACATACATTGAACAACACAGATAAGATTAATTCTGGTTGACTGACCACATGCCCATATGTCGACTGGTTTGCCGTATGGGTCCTTCCTCAACACCTCTGGAGACAGATATCCTGGAGTTCCTGCAAAACCTGCACAAACACGAACATTTCACATTGTCAGTGAGTTTAATACAGAAATACAAGCAAAGATAAATGATTCTCTCAACCTTCTATTTACCCTCATCACCATCATCATCATCATCCTCCTCCTCTGTCTCTTTTTTATGTTTTCATGTTCTGAGCCAACTAGCTCTCTGCTACTTCAATACTTTTTTATGTCCTCAAGCAACAATGGTGTCCTTGGTGAAGCTGCTAAGAGTGAAAACTGTGAAAACAAATTCTAATTGTTATGAGCAGAGTGGGATTTCTCACCAAACCAAGCCTGTTGGTCCCCCTGCACCTCGATGGCAAGACCGAAGTCTGCAAGCTTCACCGCTGCTCCCTTCATCTTACTGGCCAGCAGCAGGTTCTCCGGCTGCAACACAGAGACACACGGATCTTCAGGATGAAACGTTCTCACTCCAGCAACTGAGGACCGTTTTCAATATTCCTTTGTCAGAGAGGATTTGGGTAAAAGGCTAACAATACAAAAACATGTCCATCCAGAGCTGGAAAAGCAAAGACTTGACAGTTTATATTTTGTCTGGCTGACACATAAAAACCCCAAAGCATTTTTCCTTTCTATTTTTTTCTACAATTGTAGAAAGTCATATTTTTATTTCCACTTCCAGACAGACAAAATAAAAGTAGAGGCATTTACTAAGATCCAGTTTTCAAATTCATCTTTGGACAAATTCTTAAGTTTCACATGAAAATTGAACTAAACTAAACATTGAAATAAAATACAAAACATATATGAGGAGGAATTAATACATTATAAATACAGTATAAGAGGAAAGAATACACTTCATTAAAAGGACAAAACAGAGAAGCATGTCCCCTCCTTCAGGAAATGACTGGATGAGCTGCAGGAGCACAATGACTCTCCAGTCATAATGAGTCATGAACTGGACTAGCAGGCGACAAACGAAGAATCTCTTCAGTCAGCTCTCACAAGATTTAACATTTCCACACTTCCACACAACTGATCACACAATCGTGCAAGAAGTCAGGACTTGGCAAAGATGAGCTGTGTTGTACTTCATTTTTATCTCCTTGCATAATAGTTACTCTCACTTAAAGAGAAGAGGAAACATGTCAGGTCAAGTGAAACTGATGAGAGGTCACTTACTGATTATAGCTGCACAGCTGTTTCAGATTCTTTTCTTAAAGGTTTTTCTTCGTAATGAAGGGAGATTCTATTCTGTCACCTCGTTTCCAGGGTCATTGCAACGCCCACATTAAATACTTTGCACCATTACTCTACAGACATTTAAGTTAATAAAACTAATAATAAACTATAATAAAAGGGCTGAGGTCATGAGGGTCCAGTGTGATATTAAAAACTGACCTCAGCCACGTGTAAATGCACCATGTGCACACTGTGACCTTTTTTGCAAAGAGAAGAGTCTGTTAAACAAGCACAGAGGTCACACGACTCTTCCCCTCCTCTCTTAAGCTGCTTGTCTCAGACGACCTCTTCCAAAGGAGAAACAGGAAACTAGCTGATATACGGAAGCTTTACTTTAGGACACTTTGAATGCACAGCTGCAAGACAAGGGTCACAGGATTGTGGACAAAATAGTGCTACTGAAATATAGGATGTCTTTGTGTGTCCTTCTGTCACATGACCCTGATGTCCACATCCACACACGACCTCTGAAGCCAAAGAGACCTGACTGTGTGTGTGTGTGTGTGTGTGTGTGTTTGTGTCTTGAGGGCAGCGATAGCCGTCCTCATTGACTCGTATGCAGACAGATGTATGACACTTGTAGTAACCGTCTTTGAGCATTGTCTGTTTCTTCTCATCTGTCAGTCTGTCTCTCTCCATCTAGTCCTTCATTGTCTGTCCCTCCATCCTCCTATCATCTTTCCCCCTCTATCGGGCAGAGTTGAGACAATGGATAGAACAAAAGAGAAGACAACAGAATGCCCGAGGACAGAGAGCTGGAGAAGAAGCAACTCGAGAACACACAGAGAGAGAGAGAGAGAGAGACAGATAGAGATAGATAGATGGGAGGTGGCATAATGAGTCCCTACGCTGGTGCTGCTGCAGCCGGGTGACCTCACCCTACAGTTACCATGGCAACCCAGCCTGCCACCAGCCAAGAGCATCTAAACTCTTTCTCTCTAATTCTTGTTTTCCCGTCAGCGAGTGGCCCTCCCGAGATGACGGGGAGGCAGAAATGTGATGCGCGCGAGTGTGAGGTCACACCACCCCACACTCTGTTGGCATTATTAGTCTATTTGTGGAAGGAAGTTCTTTGAAGAGATTTTAATAATAATAAAGGTCTTTTTGTTTGATCTACAAGTCGTCCCAACACAAACGGATGCTTTAAAACTGTGTACTTTGGAGGATTTGAGGCGGTAAACACGGCTTTGAAATATAATTGTGGACAAAGTTGTGTTTGTGGCAAACTTCTGTCTGCCATCTGGTGCGGAGCAGGTAGTTTACAGTTTATTTATTCATTTTTGCAGGAAAGTAAATAAAGTCTGACATGTTTGCAGCATGTTTAAAATTATTACCCAGAGTTTGACATGTGTTGCGTCTACGTGTTCCTATTACAGGGGGGACGTCCCATGTACAGAGGCTTGACTCAAGGTCCTGCACCGGCTGCAGGTTCGACTCCCACCCCGCCCTCTGCTTCATGTCTTACCTTCTCTTTCTCAATCAATAAATGCAACAGAAGTCCATTCACACCACCCTCACACAAAACCAGATCATTTTATTTATCCATTTCTCAGTTTATTTTCCAGTTACGTCTCCTTTCTCGAAAATAATGGTTTAAATTTTGCTCCATCTCATTAACGGTTATTGCACAAAATATTAAAGTTTAGGACTCTGAACTCAGTGCTGGCAATAAAATTAACAACGAGGTGTAATTATTCGGGGGTTTGAATCTCACACATCGTATTATTATTATTATTAAAATGAAACAACGCAGCTGAGGAGGTCAGGGTGCTCTCTCTCTCTCTCTCTCTCTCTCTCTCTCTCTCTCTCCCTGCCAGGGGTGAACAATCTTGCTGCGAGGGAAATCGTCACTGGCCGTCATCTCAAACACAGACATGCTATTAATAGCAGCTGGTCTGCTTTCGTCACTCCTCAGCAATGAAGGAGGGAGCGGAGAGGCAAGAGGGGAATAGATGAAAAAAAAGGGGAGGGGGTATAGATTTAGTGGAAGATGGGAATGGAGAGATAAGGAGGAGAGCAGGCAGGTGATGATGAGAGGGATGACGCTCATCCCTTAAGTTGCTCTTAACGTCACAGCCTGACGTCTGTGCGAGTTTGTGTGTTTCGACCTGTTGTGCATTTCCACTGATTTTATCTTCTTTTACCACACACACATTTATATCTTTTAGTTTTTATCTAACTAGTGTTTAAGATTTCTCCAGCGACATACGATAACTCACCTTGAGGTCCCTGTGCACAATGTCATGCTGGTGGATGTGACTGACGCTCTCCAGGATCTGATTGATGCAGTGGCTGGAGGAGACAGAGGGATGAGAAAACACATCTGTCAGTCCACAACATCTGCATGACCACAGACTGAGGAAAAGAAAGAACCAGAATTACCATCTGGCTGTTATATGTCCCCACCAACAGTGCAGCTTCAGTCGACTCATATGAAGTCATTGGACCTTTGACCACAGAAATCAGTTAAGCTTGCATATAAACAATTAAACTGGTCCGTTGCACAGTTAAAATCACTATTATTTCATTTAAATGAAATTGAGAATGACATAGTAGAGGTGAAGCCAGGGTCAGCAGCAGGAGGAGTTCTCTCTTTTTTTAGAGAATGGTGTCCTCTCGCTGTCAGACAGACTCAACAGAAAAAGCCGCTGGCGTTGTGTCCAAATTAGGACTAAATCTGGACTCCACAGTTTATTCTCCTCTACCCAGAGTCATTCCAACATTTAACCAAGTCCATATGATCCCCTATCCTGTATCTGCAGCTATAAAAAGTGCTGATCAAAAAGCATTCCCCTGTCCTTACTCTCTTTAGCATCATCATGATCTAATAGTTTTAATTTAACTGCCACATTTCAGTGTCCCGGACTTTTGGAGAGGCCTTCTCTTCAGTTGTAGTTACTGAGCACTTTTTGTTATTATTATTATGTCAACACCAACCAGACCTGTCTTGTTTCAGTACAGGCTCTAAAGGAGACATCTTGAAATTCAAGCATTGTGTTGTAAAGGTCTTTCTTAAAACACATTTATTACACATTACTTTATTCTGATTGTTTGTGTGTTTCATATTGTTAGTTTTAAAGTAGTTTGTTGCTTGAATACAAATTATTATTATAAATATTAACTATCTCATGAGTTGTGTTTTAACGTGCAGTCAGGTGAAGTGCTGCGGTGGTTTCCAGACTGAGGACAGCTTTGTCATTATTTATTCATGAAATTAAATTTAAAAACCAGAGTCACGTGGTCAAAGAGAACTTGTCGACTGTGTAACAAGCTCAGAGAACTGTGCAAGCACTTCGTCTGCTGCTGCTACAGCACAAAGTACATTTGGTGCTTTCAGTTCTGCTCTGGCAGCTGGACATTAAAATTTTGGTGGACAGCAAAAATGACAAAAATACACAATATAATATGTTGAACGTGTGAGCAGGATGAGATACTGTACCTGGCATCTGCCTCGCTGTAATACTCCCTCGCAACAATGTCCTCAAACAGCTCTCCTCCAGTGACACTGCGGACGGACACAAAGACAAAAGAGCCTGATCACAATGAATCAAATCAGAACTGGAAGTGTGAGCAATTTGGTGCAGACCTTCCTTAAGCCATTCATAGTATGAAAAAGACAACTTGCCCCTTTCAACAGTTCTAATCATTTTTTATTTGTGGGTTAAACATGACGACAGTGAAGTGACATTCACGTCACACAAGTGAAAAACGACTCCTTCCTCCAGCTCAGTGGAAAAGTTGATATTCGGTGCTGCTGCAGACAGAGACCGTCATGGAAAATAAAAACGGAAAACAATTTTGATTTACTGTTGCTTTGGTGAAGCAATTCATCCTGTAATGAACTGTGTATGTGGCATGTGTGTGTGTGTGTGTGTGTGTGTGTGTGTGTGTGTGTGACTGTGTTAATGTGATTAACTCACAGGTCAAAGACGAGGTAATGGAAGCCTTCCTCTGAGATGCTGTCATGGAGTCTTACTACAGAGAGAGAAACAAACAGAGACACAGAGGTTTTGGGTTTATACAAATGTTATCATGCTAATTAAAGTCTATACGGGAACAAAATTGTCTGTATATAATAATAATAACAACAATTATTAATAATAATGTATCACTACTTTGAGCTATAATGCATTTGCTTGTAGTTCCACATTATTTTAAACCTTCCACAACATTTAACCAGGTAATAGAAATAGTTTTCTCATGATTTATGTTGTTGATTTATGATGTTTGTTTTTCAAAGTTCTTTTAATGCAGCTCTATCTCTCCTGTTGGGTTTCATGTTTTAGATTTTCATGAGCCCAGATCTTAGAAAAAGGAGCAGGTAAAAAAAACATTACATTTTGAGGCAGATATGGAAAAAGAGGCAAATCCAGGAATTCTTTCCAGATTTACTGGATTTAAATGTGGTTTGATGAAGGGACTGTTTGTCTTGGGTCTTGGTCGACATATATGAGTTCCTGCCATTCTAGCTGTAATTATTGTTACTACTAGCACTGAGGACATGAAACCAGTTTCAACAAAACACTATGTGACGGACAAATCTGTAACTGAGTCCTTCTGTCCGACTGAAACCCCCGAACTATTGAAGTGACAATTCCAAACATCTGTCCCCAGCTGTTGCCTTAGATCCTTTAGTCTGTGGACTCTCAAACATGACTCACCTATATTTGGATGTTTCAGCAGACGGCAGATTCTCGCCTCGCGCTCCAATTTCTGGTGATCTGAGGACAGAGAAGAGCAGGGAGGTGAATCAGTGACGACACATCAACACCAGAAATAGAAGCAATTATAGTTCTTTGTTTTTTTTCCAACGTGTACTCTGATGATCAAAATACCAGGAAAATTTCATTTTAAACTCAGAAGGCAACACACAAAATTACACAACAACGAGGGCAGTAAAACAGTCTCTGAATCTGACTTTAATCTCATGTTGTTCAGTATCATTTTTTCAACATGGCATTTTGAAAACAGATTTTTCTACATAACCTTTCAACACATGTTCAATATTTAAGTGCTTATAAATTATGAATTGTTTGTTTAGTTTTTCTAAAGCAAAGATTTTTCCAACTATTACAGCTTGATATCTTGTTTGGGAGGATTTCAAAAGCGCCCTGTGACTGATTAAGACTGATTAAAACATTTCTTTCAACTGCGCAGCTGAAACACACAAACACACTTAATTCACTGTCTCTCCTGTCTCCCCTGCTCCTCCTACCCCACTCAGAACAATGGTTTTTGTCTAAATCTGCCATTTTACAACCCAAATCACATCGACAGTGACCGGAGGGGACGACAGGATAGTTTCAGCAGCGGCGGGATGACGTAAAGGTAAGATTCAGCTAACCAGACAAGCTCGGGGGCCAGTGGCTGTTGACTAGGATGGGCCTGAACAAATAGACAAACAGCTTTATACTGTACACACGCACACGCGCACACACAACAAGCTTTTTTGCACTTAGTGAAATTAGTCTTGTGGGTCCGGCCTTAATATAATCAGTGTCCAGATAATGATTATAATGGCAAGGGGATGATGTGCATGTGTGCGCGTGTGTGTGTGTGCGCGCTTGTGTGTGTGCGTGTGTGTGCATGTGCGTGTGTGTGTGCGTGCAGCTGCATATTTAGGACAGACAGATTGGTAGTAGGACTGTTATAGTAGATAGATACAGTGGATGGCATCTCATGTTATAGGGTGTTTGGGGTCAAGTTCACACTGGACTCTACTGCCACCCACCAGCTGCTGGTCACAGGGGACAGATGGGATGCTTTTGTGGGTGCACGTGAGTGTGTTTGTGTGTGTGAGTGTGTGTGTGTCTGTGTGTGTGAAGCAGAGACACTGGACATCCCTAATCCACTGCCCCATCACAGGCTCCTGGCAGTGTCATGGCGTCTACTTGATCAAAAACATTAGTGGTGCAACTGCAATAAATTGTAATTGTCCAGAAAATGTCAGAATGTGGAAATGAAGTGAGGGAAATGTCTGTTTGAGTTGAAAAAAATTAACCAATCGATCTGTTTGTTAAAATTATTGAGCAACATTTTTGATGATTTTTCATTTGTCGGGGAAAATTATCAAAAGATTTGCAGGTTCCAGCTTCTCAAATGTGAGTATTTGATCATTTTCTTTCTCATAAATAGTACGATAGAAAACTAAATAGTCTTCTAGTCTACAATTCATATCTATTCATTTATTTATTCACTTGTGTAGTGTTAACCATTCATGGTGTATATCGTTGTCATAGTTATTTTAAAGACATGTACTCAGTATGGAAGCTGTTGGACAGATTAATGGAAATATTACTTTGTTTACTTCACCCTCAAAATGTAAAAAATAAAAGTTTAAAAAACCTCTGAGGGATACATGTCCTGCAAAGTACACAGTGATCCTTGTGGCATCACACTGTCTGATTAAAACACAAAATATCATGAATCCGAGGTGAAGAAGAACATTTTCAAAGAAGCACTAATGTTATCCGAGATGGAAAGGTGCAAAGAAAGGCCACAATATCTGTGCAGGAGTAATTATCGAATCTTATTGTGTACTGGGATATATTCTCTCAGCAGTAGCAGAGAGAAACCAACACTGCTTTACATTTTACTTGAATTACTCTTTAGAAGTAAGAGATGGAGCTGCACAGAGAAAACAAGAGAGGAAAAGAGTCGTGTTTAAACCTGTCAAGAGAAAATATGTTTGGTGACCAGGTTTAACCCCCATGAGTCAGCGGCATCAAGGAGAGCTGGCTATACACAAAACATCAACACGAACTTTAGAGCAAATGTCAGTCAACACAACGTATCCTCGTCTTAAGCTTTTCTGGTCACTCGGGGATGAACATGTAGAAATCCAACACTTTGATGCCACTTGAGAGGAAAGTAATTGACATGTATGTGTTAAATGAAGCCACATAAGAGGATGCAGAACCCCTGAGGACAGAGAAGGCTTCACCTCTTTTCAAATCACTGGAAAAACACAGGCAGGAAAAGCGGATAGGAAATACTTCCTTCCTCTGCAGCAAACACTGAGGGGCCTTTAAAAGGCAATGGAAAATCAAGGCGATGACTAAAATGTAATTATGTTATTTGTGGTGGTGTGTGCATACGATGCATTTTAAACGTTTGACAGTTAAATGAACGTGAATCCAAAGTCTCAAGGACGAGGTGGCCAGCTTTTATTTTTTTATCTGGGCTACTTGTTTTTCTAGACGCTCAGTAAACCCCTCACATTTCAAGGTAACATCACATATCTGTACAGTTCCTCTGAATCCTCTGTTGCCTTCGACACGAACAAGCTCCTGCAGGAAAACACATGAAGGGAGGAAACATGATCCCGACTTTGACCTCAAACCTCTGACCCACGGTGCTAAGCCAATCAGCTGCAGCTTTTATCCTGCATGTGTCCGTACTAAAACGTGTTCATGCAGGCCGGGGCTGTTCAGTTCAACAACAGTGCTTTTGTTCAGACCTCACAGACGAAACACAAGCTTAAATCTGACCAGTGTGTTCAGGATGAGGAATCAAAGCATAAGGCGAGACATTCCTAAACCTTCTTCTCAGAGCCAAACATGGACTATTTTGGCTGCTTTTATTCTTAGAAGTTGGATCTGCCAGCTAAAATAGGACTATTTCTTTTTTCAACGTTGGCCTGAGACGCCGGCTTTATTATGCTTGGGATGGCAGACAGTTTTGGCAGCTGGCTGCTTTAAAACACTAGAAGCTGACTGAGGAGTTTCAATAGAAAGATGAGAGAATAAGTGCAGGCTTCAAAAGGACTTAGTGTATAGAAAAGAACAGAAACACAAGAAAGTGACTGCAGCGTGACAGAAGCTGATCAGTGTCAAATACAGAAGGTAACTGCCGGCTCTTCATAGAAACAAGAGTCTCTTCAGTGTAAGAGTGCAACTGTTTTCAAATTGGACAAATGTTGGAGAGTCACTGTTGTGGTAACGGTTATTTAATCCCCTACAACAATGTGGGCCTGCAGTCATGTAGCCTTCAATAAAACCAGCAGAAAGGTCAAAGCATGAAGCCTGAACATCAGATTTCATATATTAGATTAATATAGTGGCAGGATTCCCCAATCGTATTTTAGGAGCTCAGCATTTATACCTCATTAAAAGGTCATAAACACATATGACTCATCAACAGGGAACACACTGAGCTCAAGCAGACATAACTCAACAAAATAATTCACTTATCCACTAGTTGATATCAAACAATAAATGATGCAGGTCACTGAGGACAGCTTTAACCAAACTACAAACTAAATCAGCAACTAGAGATTAGTTTTCATACTAGATTTGAAACTCACTTTTCATCTTTTCTCATTTGTATCAATGAAGGCCGACGAAACAAACATCTCTCTATATAAGGCATTAAAGTTCGACAGCACACAAACTACGTAGTACACAAGCTCTGTTAAATTTAATCAACACCTCTTGAGAACAGTTTTAACAAAAACTCCATGACAACTGTGATGAGTGTAGGATGTGTTGCAGGACTGTTGTAATAGAAGATTTGTCTACGTCTACCTAATAAATAAACCCATGTCCTGCCTTTACCCCCCCCCCCCCAAACACACACACACACACACACACAAACACCTTTTATAGCTTTCCAGAGAGATGATCTGATAGAGTCTGCTACAGAGAGAAGGACACACAGCAACATATTCATTCATCCATCCAGCCCTCTCCTTATAACTCTCATCTAGAGGCTCTGAGCAGATCAGTGGTGGATCAGCGGATGGATCAGTGGATGGATGGATGGATGGACTGATGGAGGGAGAGATGGACTGATGGAGGGAGAGATGGCTTCTTACAGCCGACATCCACTGTTTGAGAAACAATCCATACCCCCTCCCCCATGTATATCAATTACATTATGTCTACAGGGAAACAACCAGACAACACAAGACAAACTGAACATGGAGGGGAAACATCAAAACCAACCACAGCCCAAAAAAAGATGGATAAACTGAGTGTATGCAGCTGCCAACAAACATGGCGACTCACTCTTGGAAGAAGAAAACATTTCAGAATTTGCAGTTGACCATGAATTTCATCGGTCACGACCACAGTCTCTTGATACAGTGATTAAAGTGTCTCTTCTCCTCAGGGGCCATCAGAGCAGCCTGAGTCAACAAAGAGCACGGTTGCCATGTTCTCTTCTTCATCTGATTGGAACAAACCTGGCAACCTGCAGCCTCAGCAGCGCTGGATATTAGCAAGATGAGTCGCTGATTAGACACAATTAGGACAAAATAAGCAGCTTCTCCATGACACGACCCAGGTTACTGACATCAACACATTATAGGTGATGCATCATCATATAATGTTTGTGAAGTTTAAGATCTAAACGAAGCTTGAATTAGTTAAATGTGTATTCAGCAGATTGTCTTTATTTTCAACCATCCAACTGAGTGCTTAGAATTGTTTTTATGCCAAACTGTTCCAAATGAAACACTTAAAATTACATACTTAAATATTACAGTCACTCACACGATAACAATTTATAATCACTTCCTTTGTCCAACGTTTTCTTCTCATTGTATATTGTTTTGGTTTGTTTTGATTGATTGAGAATTACTAGTCATTACTTTCAGCTGAAGTATCTTGAGAGTAGCATTTCTTCTAATTTTTAGCATTCTATAGCCAAAATCAACCAGCTAATCATATCAAAAATCAATTATCTAAAAGAAGTGATAGAGCAGTGATATGTCTCCATC